TTAATCTGGGGTTGAGAAACTAAGGAAGGAGGGGCCTTTGGGGCACCTGATAAAGTACTTGGAGGGTCTCAGATTTATGCCATACTTGCACAAACTGTTTTTGCAATAATAAATGTTAAATGCTACACATGGTAACGGAGGCATAAATCCCTGTGCTGCACCAATTCCTCAGTGAATTATTGCTTCCAAGGATTGCAAGAGGTTAGAACAGTCTATTAGAGAAGGTGGTCTACCGTGTGAAGCTGAAACCAAAACAGCAGGAAACGTGATACAAGGAAATTCAGTCAGAAACTGAAACCAAAACTCACTGACTTGCTGCAGTTTGACAAACAGATAAGGAACAAAGGACCTTGAGAAACATAAGCAGAAAGGGTTGAAAGTTGAAGGAATTCTGTTACTGATATGCCTTTTCCCTTTTACGCTTTCCAGTTGAAGTTATTTTCATTGTATCAATAAAACACAATAACTGGGCACTGAAATCAGATTTATAAAGAGGCAGCATAATAAGATGAGAAAAAGTGTATAGATGAGTCTTCTGCTAGTTTTTAGTTAGCATGTAAAGTATTTATTCATCTTTGCAATGCAAAATGAAGCAGCACAAATTGATTTAAGAGAATACTACAAAAATGTCCTCTCAAATCATATACAGTAAAATTAAAAAGAAATTGTGAGAAATGTTTTTGGCAGACAATTTATAATAACTAGTTATAATTTATAATAACTAGTTATAGTTATGAAAACTCTGACTTCCAATATATGTACCTTACAGCTCCCAGACCTACATGATGCAAAGTGAGTATATTGATAATGTTTTTCCTTCCTGAAGTGCCACTCAAATCCCTGCTCACAGGCATCTTTTCTGCTGGTGGTTCCAAGAATCACAGAGTGACTGAGGTTGTGAGGAACTCCTGAGATGAACTGGTGTAGCTATGATATTTTATTAAAAATCCTTTCCTAGGATTTTTGCCCTCCTGAGGAGCTGGGAGCCTCAGGAAAGAAATGTAAACAATAACTATCTGCTGCTGTGGAATGCAACAGGTGCATTGCTCCATGTGGATTGTTTTCGATTGATGACCAACCACAGTCACCTGTGCCAAGGCTGTGAGCAGTCACAGGATTTTGTTATGCATTCTATTCTATTCTTGTTCTTTGTAGCCTTCTGATCTCTCTGTTCTTTTAGTATAATTTTTATGTAGTATTTTAGTATAATATTTAACATAATAAATCAACCTTCTGAGAAACATGGAGTCAAGCCTCGTGTCTCCACACACAGAGAGTTCCTCACAACAAACTGTTGCAACCTCCTGCCCAGCACGGGCACCTGGAGCAGGCTGCCACATCCAGATGGCTTTTGAGTATCTCCAAGGCTGGAGATTCCAAAACCTGTCTGAGCAGGCTATTCCAGTGCTTGGTCACCCTCACAGTGCTTCCCCGTGTTCAGGCAGAACCTCCTGTGTTTCTGTCTGTACCCACTGCCCCTTTTCCTGGCATGGGCCTCTGTCTCCTTTGCAGCCTCCAGATCTCAGCTCTCTCAGCCTTTCCTCATATGAGACAGTCCTCAGTCCCCCATCCATCTCAACAGCCCTTTGCCAGATGCTGGAGCAGCTGTACTGGGGAGCCCACAACTGGACACAGCACAGCATCACTCCGGACTCCATACAGATCAACACTGACAGGGATTCTGTCCTCTCACAAGCCTTAGCAAAACAGGTACAATCTGACTTAAATATAATACAGGAAAGGTTTATGGTACGCAAATACAGAGACTGCCTAAAACCCTTTTTTTTTTCCTTTTTCATTCATAGAGGATACAGAAATATTTTTAACAACAAGAAAAGTAACATAATTATCAAGAAGATCAACAGTAGCTTCAGAAAATATATAATCTTTGTGTGTATAGTTTCTTGCCTAAAACTCAGGAAGATTCCCAAGGGTATAGACCTCCCCTAATTTCATTCTTTTGGCTGATGTGTTTTCCTCCAAAGCTGACAATAGGGCAATTCCCCTTTCTGCATACAAAACTTCAAACTCTCTAAAAGAAAAACAAGAGTTGTTTTCTAATCCTCCCTCCATTTGTGCAGCAACTTGCTCCACAGCAAGCTGCCTCCCAAGCAGTTTGCTGCCTTTGCTCCCTTATAAGGAAGCTTTCCAGACTCTTGAAGCAACCACTGCTTAATTCTCTGGCAGATTTCAGATTTAAAATCCAACATTCAGCTGGATTGGCTAGAAGGGCTCCTGTTACCTCACCTTTCACCCATCAAGAACAAGCCACGAAACAGGTGGAGAAGAGAAGGCAACAGAAGAGCTATTTTTCTTCTACCAAGGTTCAAAGGTTTGCTGACATCCCAAACGGTGCCCAGCTTGGTCATTTAGTGCCATATTCCCCTGGCAGTTGTCTAACTAGGTAAAGTCACTCTCAAGTGAAATACAACTTGAATTGACAACTTTTGTGCTTTTTGGCTAGGACAGACTTCCAAAAACACATGCATTTGAGTGCTTGTTTGGGTGCCAAACTGTACAAGTCTGCAGGGAGAAGCAGAAACAGATGGGCTGATGAACAGTTAAGCATTATTGCTAGAGTAAAAGCTTGTCTGCCAGAAAATCAGATTTGTAAAACTGAGTAAGAGAAATAATGCCTTATGAGAGACAACTCAACCATTTGTTCCCATTTACAATCACAAGAGAGGAACATTATATAAACAGATTCATTGCTATAACTAAATGGTTTTCCCAACTTTTCTTCATGTTATTTTTTTTTCTTTTTATTCCTGTTTCTCTCTACAGGATGTTTTCCAGGATAACAAATCTTTTTCAAATGGTGATGCCCAAAACTGGACAGTCTATTCCTACTGAGGTCGCAGTACTGCTGAACGGAATTCTCCCATTTTATAAACACTGCTGAGGTTAATGCATTTTAGAAATGCATTTCTCTTTTTTGCAAGAGCATTGTGGGGCATGGTGTTGTTAAAATGATGCTTACTTTGCTCAGATCACTAACTCCCCAGCCCATTTTTTTGATACACTCCATTCTGCACTTGCAAATTTTTTCTCAGTTCTTAGGACTTAAGTGTGTGAATTTTCTTTTGTTCACTTTGACTCTAGTAATTTCTCTAACATACTGAGTACAGCTGAAAAAGCAAATCTCGATCTTCATAGCATCTGCAACTCACTTCACCTCAATGTTTCTTACCATTCTCACCAATTTTCTATGTTCAGGAGTATTTTGACCAAGAGTTCAGTGCACTTACACAAGTAGAAAAGGACTAACACAAACTGGAATTGTAGAAGTCTTTACCAAAATAAAGACATGTTGCAGCTACTTCTTTTCTCTGACTTACAAAAGCAGATACTCACAGGAAGATTTGCTTTTAACAAATCTGCAGTGGCTGCCTCTGAGCATGTATTAAGTTCTAGGCACTTACAGACTGATTGTCTACCAGTGTGTTCTGGCATCTCTCCCTGCAGAGAAGTTGTCCTGAAGTTACACACATAGGTCTAAATTTCCTTAAGAAAGGAAATTCTCCTTAAGAAAATGGGGGCATGTTTTCAAAGCCCTAACACCACCAAAGCCACCAGTAACAGCTCTAAAAATTTGTCAGGTGTTATATTAATATTTTAGATAATGTTTTGAGTCAGTGATAACATAAATATGCCTACAATTCTTTAATATGTTCTTGCCCTGGGCCCATGCCTGAATGCTCATAGCTGCGATCAGCACTTCCAAAAATTAACCATCTTTAACCAAGATTTAGGAGTGTATTTAGGTTTTCTTGTGATAAACAGCTATCAAATACCAATAGTGAGCTATGGTTCTCTTTCACCAGGCACACTTACCTCTGCTGCAGTCTTACTTTATATTTTTTCCTAGATCCATTTTCAGCATTTTGTGTTAAACTTTTCTTCACTTTAAATTAATAAGTTATACTATTTTCTAATAATTTGCACATTATCCACACTCAGATTACTAATCAAAAAATATGTCTTCAACCCCTCTGACCACAACCTGTATTTACGTTGACTTGAGCTGCTGTTGACACCAAAGCCTTGCATTCTAAAGTCAGTGTGTAAGTCAATCTAACACCTTACTGGTAGGGAAATGCTCTCCTCATTTTCAGTTGCATTTGCTCACTGTGTCTCTCATGCCAGCTTTGGCACTCATCTGATCCTTCAGAGAGCTGATTCAGCTTATTAAACCAGCAGAAAATAGATTTACTGTTGTTTGGGGTTTTGATGGTCTGCTTTCCCTGTAGGGACAGATAAAAACACTTAGCCTGTTTTACCTAATTGCAGTCTCATGCTGGTTTACATCAGTTTATAGCAATCTAAATTGAAGCTGCCATATTCATTCCTTCATCCCCACCTACACAACAGTCATTAACAGCCATGCAAATAGATTGTGAGACAGACAGGGCTTTCTTTTTTTTTTTTTCTTTTTGTAAGGATGCTCCTTGTTGGATCATCTCAGTGAAGTCAGCAGCTGCACAAGAAATTCAGTTCAGCCTAAAGAGGACTCAACATGCATTTCCTCCACATCAGCCCTGTGAGCATCCTGCAGGGTAAATAAGTGCCCAGCAGTACCTGGTTGCCCCTTCACTGAAACAGGGAGATGCTAAATCAGTAAGTGCTAATTAACCAGGGAGTCATAACCCATTTTATTCCTGCTCACTAAAACTTCACCTCAGACTTGTAGAAACACCTCTGGATTCTACACTGACTGCAGGATGTGCCCTCACTGGTATCACTGAGCAGAAAAGCAGCAAATCCCTTTCAAACATGTCACTGGCTCAACCCTAAAATAGTCTATGATACTCACTTTAAGCTAATCACCACCTTATGACAATTATACATTATAAGTGTATCTTAAATCCAATCCTATTCTATTCTATACAATTAATTCCTGCAGAATAACAGGCATTATCTGGTTTCCTCACAAGTCAGATAAAAAGATTTAGCCCCTTCCACATGGATCACGAAGGAGAAATTTAAAAGGATTTACTTACCGAAGGATTTCCTTCCGAGTGAAGAACGTGCAATCCTGTTAAAGAAACAAATTGTGTCATTGTACTACAGAAATATTGAAAACAACTGCAAAGAGTTATTTCCTTTCCTTTTGGAAGGAAACTCAGATCTGACAGAAAAACATTAAATATGCCGTTTGGGTGCCATCTACACTTGACTCAGAAAGCAATATACACTATAAAATAACAGGAATATTTCAATACAGGCCTATCAGTAAAAAGAAAGATCTTGATATTGTGATAGTTCAGGAGGAAAAAACAGGTTGCTGAGATATATCTCCAATGTAGAATGACCCGACCAGAAACAAAATTAAATACAAAACAGAAGGTATATGCCAAAAGTATTAATTAAAATAATATGGAAAACTACAAACAACAATCTGTTGTTGATGACAAAAACTGTCTTCTTACTTTAAGTATCCCCCTGCTGGAGACAACTGGTTTAATCATAAAATTATGTAGTTATTTATTAGTTATTAACCATTTTTGCTAACAAACAGTTTGCACTGTGGTCACTTTGCTGAAGGCTGCAAACTCCTTTATTTTAGGAGCATGGATAAATGGATAGTCCCTGCCCTGAACAGCAGCAAACCATTCAGCTCTCCCTGTGCTATCACAGAACTAGAAATAACTAAAATGCAAAAGTAGAGTTTGCTGAACTTGAGAGAAGAGATACAAGCGTTCACTTGCATTCACATGGCTCTGTGATGTGACTGAATTTACATTGGTTTAATTCACTTCACGAACACCTCTGTTATACTAGAATTCAAACACTTCACCAAAGAACCAGAATACGAGCAGTGGCAGAGTTTGCATTTCATGCATTTCTACTTCAGTCGCAAAAAATATATATAATTTCAGGTGCTGTGAGGAAAAAATAATCAGTCCCATCCCATTCAAAAACAATCCCCTGATCTCCACTCTTACCTAGTATGTATTTAATGGAAACTCTGCCCTGCATCTAAGACTAGGAACACTAGTGGTAGTGAAATATTTGATAATCAGTTGAGAACATCATTCATCGATTCAGAGAATACGTAACTTGATCTGAGAGCCAGCTCCTGAGGTTGTATATATAGGGGACAACCACCAACACAGAAAATTCTTCCTGATTACCCACCTCTCTCACAGGCCCATGTGATGTGGCAGGGCATTTGCCTAACCATTCAGCTCTTTGTAGCCTTCCCCCTTTAATGGAAAGATATTTAGAATGTATCACCTTTGAAAATCAGCTTGTGAGAAGATAACAGTATCAGACTTGGTAAGTCATACTTGAAGGGTACATACAAGTATTTTGTCTCTACAAGTCCTGCTCTTCAACCAGAGAAAAAGTATTTCTTTCTCAAGCTGAGACTCACTGGGGCTAAATGCCTTTTTCTTCCAAGGAGGGGAGGAGCAAAGGATCCCTTGCTGGTAGAAGCAAACAGCCTGTCTCAGGTGTCCAGGAAGACGATCAGTCCCACAGATATCAATTACTGAGCTGCCCTGCTGTCCTCCACACAAAGTGCCTGGAGCAGCAGCTCTTCCTTCAGTGGATTGTGCAGTTACAAGGCCCAGGAGGAAGCGCCTTGGGAGCTGCTGACACTGATGTCACATTGTCTGCAACCGCACAAAGTGACGTTGGAGCCAGCTGGTCAAGTCTTCCTTAATTCCACACAATCAACACTGTCAAACTGTCACTTAAGGACACTTCATTTACTAAGAAAGGGCAGGTGTAATCTCACAAATAATTGTAATGCCCTCAGCAGCAATCATCTGCAATTATACAGGCTGGAGAAAACAGCAGCCACTTAACTAGAAAGCTGACAGGAAAGCGATGTACAAATGGAGACAAAGATTAAAAGGAAAAGTTACGCTTTACCTTGCAGAAGTCCTGCAAAAATGCTATTGGAAGGCAAATTAGGTCAGATAATGAACCATTTTTGCTGACAGTCCATACATTTTTTATATTTTATTCTGAGTTGCATCATGACCTTGAAAATAAACACTGCTGCCTGCCTGTTTTTTGATCAACAAGTTTTTTACTAATGTAACCTAAACCCCACTAATACTGAAAACCTCTATAGCAGAAGCAGTTGCAACTATCGACCTAACCACTGTTACTGACAGCTCTATTTCAATTACACCTGCCAATTGCATGGAATTGTCTGGGATGAAGGGTGCCAAAAAAATTCAAGAATGGTATCACTCTTAAGAGAGATCTTAAAGCTACTCAGGGTCAAAGCACCAAAACCTCACTGTGACCTGGCCTATACTCTTGATCCAGCCAGCTGTGAAACAATTTACCACAAAAAAGCCTGTCTGGTGTCAAATGGCAAGTGCAAAACCGCAGCTCCACGTGACCTCTGATAGGGAAGTCCAGCCATCCCTCTTGCTTCTCCCACCCTTTTATTTCTGCCTGTTCCTTTACGCAGACTTCACCTTGATGAGCAGAATAACTGCATCAGAGAACTCTGAAGGAAGGAACTAATATGTTTGTAAATGAACCTAGCAATACTGGACACATTTTCAGCTCGGATAATTTCCTTTTATTGACTTAGAATATAGCATTGGCAGTGCTGGTACAAGAGACGAAGGTGAAACAAGTATCTGTTGATGGTAGGAAAGGGGTGCAGGACTGAGTTAATTTTCCTTTTTTTTTTTTGAAATCACAGCCCTCAGTTGGATTAAAATCATGATGGAAAAAAAGGTCTAAATAACATAATTATATTTTATAATTGCTGGAATTTAATTCCAATTTAATTGAAGACTTTTGGCCAAAGAAACACGGAGATGAATCATCTAATTTTCTTCTGGCTACTCTAATCATACAGAAAAATACATAATGAAGGACAATAAATAGTAAATTAACATGTTAAATTCACTCTCTCATAAGGAAAGGTGAAGTGGGCTCTGGAAAGCATTTGTCATTTATGCACATGATAACTCTGATTTTCCTGCAAGCCAGAGATATCATGGAACACATTTGCTATTTTGTGTATGGTATTTGAGTTTAGTAAGAACACAAAAAGCAACCTCTCTGTTCTGTCTGGACACTAAAATGTCTGGGAGTCCTGCTAGAAAAGCAGAAACTGAATATGAAACAAATAAACCTTACCAGAGTTTTCATAATTCTTATCAGTTCAACATTACTGGCAAGAACTGATCCTGGGAATTATTGCCTTTATTTCTAGTGCTATACAATGGCCTGAAAGACTTCTGCTAACAGCAGGCCCTCGGGAGCTTTAGCTTCTTGAGAACAGAGGCTTTGCCTTGACAGGTCACCTATTCCAGCCCCTGAGAACAAACATGCACCTTTTCCAAGATCAACTCTCCCACTCAGTCTGTCCTCGTCTCCTTAATAATCAAGTAAATTACAAGTCCAACACGGGACCACTGGTGGTTGTTTGGACGTAAGATACCACTAGAACAAATCTGCAATTATCTACTTAACATCTTGTAACAAAGTGAATACAACCAAGCAAACAGAAAATAAATTTCCCATTGATTTCCAGGAGATCACGATCTTGTATAATGGGACTTGATTCTCAAATTTAGCATTTAGATGGCTTAACTGCTTCTTAAAATACTTTGAAGAGAGAAGAGGCAGACAGCTGGTGTATTTAGGTTCCACAGGTAGCTTGGCTCATGGCTGGTAATTGGACTTTCTGCAAGTCACTCAGCATTGCTTGTAAAGTGCAGTTAACAGTCTCTGCTCTTAAAACTTAATTTTTATAGCAGAGCAGCATGCACACGCTGTTAGTTTTATTCTTTTATTCCCTATGTCAGGTGAATGCAGATTTAGGAAAGAACAGACTGAAATACAGTGGTCCACCACCTTGTCCAGTCATCTGCGGGACTTGACTGCAAACTCCTTGGTTGGTTCTGCTTTGTATTGAGTTCTACATTGATTTGAACAAAGCAAAAAAGGACAGAGAGATGCTCTGACAATGCTGCTACTTAACTGTCTGTAGCGTGTCCATCCAGCACACGAGTTGGTGTGGCTCCACTCAGCCCACGTGCCAGTTGCTCTGGGGATGGATTGCCAGCTCCCGAGAGCAGCACACAGCTTATGAATGGCAGCAGAGTCCAGTGAATGGGAGGTTACCAATCACCACTCCCAGAAACAAGCACTGTGCATAAAGCACAGCTCTGAAACAGAGCTGATTTCATGGAGGTAATGCAAAACATTCCTCTACAGAACAAAAACTGGATAAATTAACAACAGAATGAAAGAACAGAAACACTCAAATATGCTGTGAAACAGTATTTCTGAAAGCCATTAAATGCATATTTCTCTTCTAAGACAATACATATATATTCTGTTTTGTATATGTATAGTTTCATAAGGTCAGGTTTACTTTGACCCTGCAACAGCTTAATTAGAAACTTTTATAAATACAAAATTAATATTAATCAGTCTTATAAAATCACTGCAAATTAAAAAAAAAAAAAAACCTAACCCAAAAAACCCCACAGCCTCAAAGATAATGCAGATACTGGAAACCATAGAAACTATATAGCTATCAAAGAGCAGCTCTTAAAAAATGCTAGCTGTTGGATGCTGCAGCACTTTAAAAGGTAATATTTAAAGCAAATTACTTCAGAGGTTTCATTTTTAAAATCGCAAATGACGTTTTGTACTGTGCCAAAGTACAAAATGTGTGTAAGAGCATTTAATCAAAACACCCAAAATGTCATTCTGTGAAGCAACCAAGAATCTGGTCCAGACAGAAGCAAATTAACTCTTATATAAAAGATCTATTATTAACTCTGTTCTAGTAATGTTTTACAAATGCAATACTTTTGTTCTACATTTCACACGACTAAGACTGGCATAGAGTTGTGCAAGACTGAGTCTGCAAGATATTTATGTATTTTCATCACTGTTAGTGTATAAAGAGTTAACAGACTCAATGAGTTAAAAATGCTGTTTGCATCGGAACACCAATGAAAATTTTACCACACAGCTCATCCTTACTTGTCATCATACATACTTCACAATTACACCCAAACCAACCAAAACACCAAGTTTGAG